TGAGGTGTTTTGGAGAGCGTCCGCCTCCGTGTGTGGCCTCGTCCACCGATGCCTTACTAATCTCTCAGTGAATGTGTCTGAGAACTGGAAAAATTGCACATAGGACTTTAACTTGGGGATTTTTTTAAAGAAGAATTTCTGGATGGAGGTGAGAGGTTTGACAAATCACTTTATGGCATTTATGGCAATCACACTGCTGTTCTGCATGTACTTGTGCCATAGCTCCCAGCAGAACACAAACATGAGGAAAAAACGTGATGTGGTGTGTCCGACTGTAGTGAACAGCTTTGTTGTGTGTTGGTTCCAAATGTTTGAATCACTGTTCGTATGTCTAATCCAGAGAATGTGCAAGAGAATGTCTGAATGTATTTATGATAAATGAAATTCCACCAGTTAAAGCTATTATTTGCATAGACAAACCAATATGATCATAATTTAAATACACTTCCCAGCCATTTAGACTGACTTTGAAGGTCAGTGGATCATTTATAATCCACTTTAACACAGGACAATAAATACTCCAATAGTTTCTGAAAACCTGTATAGAATAAACACAAAACCTTTTTTTTTAAATTAAGTATAGTTAAAGAGTAAAGTTTTTTCCTTGCCATTTAAATAGAACTGTCCCTTTAATGACCATCTACTGCTCTGATGAATTGATGTTTTGATCCCAGATGTTGTTTATGAACGCAGGGGTTCGAAAATGTATGAACAAAGCTGCTGCTTAGTAATTTATTGTGAGAACTGTGTACATAATGTAAACAAGCCATTGATTCTGGTTATGGTTTAAAGTGAACTTGTAGTTTTGAGTACATGAAGAAGACGGGGCTAAACACACAAGTTTCTGTTGTGCAGAGAATGTGATGATTGTGATCAGACCCTTGCGTTTGGACAGTTGATTTTAATAATTGTTTAATTTGGTGGTAAAGGTTTCCATCTTTTTCAGAATTATTCAATGGCTGAAACTGAATAATATTCACTTTCCATAACAAAAATAAAATAGTTTTATGAAGGAAATACAGTTTGTGACATATTTGCTTCCAATGGAGTGACTTTTCATGTTGTTCTACTAAATAGAGAATAAAAAAAAATCACATTGAGTTTGAGCTGCATTTAACAAGAAGTAGAGTCTTTTATATCGTTTTGTTTTTTTTAATGAATAGTTATAATAATGATAGTCCCCTCCAACAGTAATAAAGTATAAACCCAGACGTGTATAATAATGCAGATGTTGGAAAAAAAATTGATCATTTGATGAAATTGAAACAAAAAGGGCTAGAAGTGACCTTAAATATTGACCCACATTTTCATCAGCTTCATCAAGACAAAACTGATCGTGCTATTTAAACAAAAAGACACAAGCACAGCAATAATGCTACCTTGATGAACATAGCCATAAGGTCTAAGGACTAGTTTGATAAAAATAAATTGGCTTCAACTAATCTGGATTAAAAAAAAAACAACTCCCTGAGGTTCTATAAAATGCAACAAAAAAAAGGGCATGAATATTAGGCAGAAAATCTGTCAGGTTCTCTGGATCCAATTAATCTGATATCAAGTACAAAGAACGTAAAAGTGTTATACTGTATATACTGTACTTTTTACGCTAACATTTTTACTTAAAACTTTAATTTTTTTTTGGTTCAGTTTAACACATCAGTGTCAACATCCACATCCAAACCATTAAATACTAAAATCATAAGAAAACCAGCTTCTGCCCTGGGTAGCAGCAGGGTTGTAGCCAGAGAACATATACATAAAATGGACACTGCTACACCTTAAAATGTTGCAACTCTATCAACTCAAGTTTGGACTTTGCACAAAGAAAGACCCCTGTAATGCATTATGAAACATTTTCCTCTAAATAGGTTTATGATTTATACAATTTTAATTATTTTCTAATGAAAGGGATGAAAGTTGTTGTGATTAGTTAGGGAATAGGGAAGCTCAGAATTGCTGTGACCATTTACATAAAAATAGTCCATGGCCAAACCACATGTTAAGGTAGTGACGGGCTTCTGACAAGTTACATTCAAAAACACATTTTAGACAGCTTTTAATATTTATGTGTTTGAATTTTTCCACACATTTTACTATGTCTGCTGTTGCTAAATTAAAATGTTTTTTTTACAGTGTTAAAATTCCACATTGTGGAAAATGTAGTAAATGCCATAAGAACAGCAGAGTTCCTAAACATGGGCTACTCTTGAGCCTAGAAATTTAGAAAACTTAATGTATATTTATATCTTGTTTTTGAAAAATAAGGATTTACTTTATATTGAACTTTTTCCACACCTGAGGTTTTAAAAACCCCTTCACCAAAATAAGTGGCTTTTTGAAAACTGTTTATATGTACAGTATATTTAACAACTACTGTCAAGTAATCAGTTGATTCACTATCATAAATTCTGGTTTATGCTATTAATTACCATGATGTCACTGATAGAAACTTGGAAGGGATTTTAATTGGTGTAAAATTACCCACTAGATGGCAGTAATGCCATTGAAGCCCATAGAAGAAAATGCTTATGGTATAAAACCTGTATGTTTGTGTATTTTGTCAGTTCTTGTCTGATACTCATTTGTTGGTCAGATTCCTCCTGAGAGCAGTGGAGAAGATTCAGATGCTTCACGTTTGTGTTGTCGTGTCGCCGCAGCGCCTCCATGTGGACAATCGTACAGGTGTGCGCTCTGCAGATTTACCTCTGCTCGCAGGTTAATTTTCTACGATAGAAAAACATTGCATTAGTGATTTTGAAATATAGACATAAAAAAATGTAAATAAAGTGTCTAATTTTTAGAATAAAGATTTTTTTGCCTATTTTTCTAATTGGACAGTAACAACTCTGTTCCTTCTTACATGGAGCTAACTTCTCTATCATGAAGTCACCAGAACTCTTTTTCTTTTTTTAAATGACATCTACCTGCACAACATGGATAAAAAAGTGTTTGTGTGGATTTAGAACAGAAGGTCTTCGCTCAGACCTCTGGGTAATACATTTCTGAATATGTGAAAGGAGCAGTTTTCTTAAAAACACCAGAATAAATACCTGAAAATCTCTGATGTAAGTGAGGAAGAAGCTGATGAAGGAAAAGGCCAGAGACCATTCAGACACGGTACTGATGATATGAGCTGTGTAACCCTGGAAAAACACAGAAATATAGGAGTTTGAGTACCGGTAATTATTAAACACAGTTGATTGTTGATCAGATTTCCACATGCTCATAATGTACTACAAGTACTGACCACTTCTCCTGGTGTCCAGTGCAGTTTGTGAGGCAGGTCCTCTCCTGGTAGACTGCTGTACATGATGACTGACGATATGAACACTGACGGGTTTTTAAGGATCACAGCACAAAACACATCAGGTCATGTGATCACCCATGTGTCAAACCCTAGAATGTGTTTTTATTTCAGCAGGGTTGTGTCAACTCTGTCTCTGTGGAAGGATACTGCTGATGATGCTACTCATGGTCCAGACACCGACCCCCAGGCGGATCAGGTAGATGCTTTTGCTGTTGATGTGAGGCTGCATCTTGGATGAGATCAGCGTCTGAACCACGATGTAAAGAGCTCCGACCCCGAAGGTCAGCACCGCGCCCACCAGGTGCATGGAGAACAGGGTGGTCTTCTGAAACACAAACAATGACACGAGGGTCTCAGTGAGCTCTCTGTCAACACTGTCCACACTGTACCAGACCAGGACCAACATCTGTCACCTGGAAGTTGGCAACCACACACATTCCTAAGGAGCTGATCCAGCCCAGCAGCAGGCCATAGCGGCTCCCGATGGAGGGTGACTTCGTCTGCAGTAGTCAGAGCCTCAACCTGTTTGTAACGGACGTACACTGTTGCCATTCCTGCAAACATTGTGTGTCAGAGCAGTTAGACTTTGATTCTAGGGCTATTGTTGAGGACTTTATTTTAAACACTGTCAGATGGTAAAATTACAAATTAATGCAACTCAAATACTGTGGGACAATTAAAAAAATATCCATCCATCCATCCATCCATCCATTTTCATCCGCTTATCCGTTACCGGGTCGCGGGGGCAGCAGTCGCCACCCAAATCACATTGCACCGTACCAACCCCTCAAACCTTCCTGCAGGTGGTGAGTCCACTGGAAGGTACCAACTGCCCTAACTGGGATTCGAACTAAAAAAATATTAAAACTAAAATTAAAAAAAGTTTTTCTGAGCTATCTGACCCCGCCCCCCACTTTGGGAAACACTGATCTTAGGTGATAAAAAAAATAATAAAAACTTTCGGTTTCTTATTGGCGCCACAATAGAGAAATTTACAGCGTGAATCTTTGCAACTGACACGGGCCGCAACAGGGGGCGCCATTAGGGATATGTGGTATCTGGAAACCACTAATCTAATCTGTCAGCTGACTACAGGGAGGACTTTACAGAAGCTTTATTGACTAATCAAATCTGATAAAGTGGATACAATAAAGGAATAATGGCAACAAAATGAATAAAATCCACAATTTATACTGTATATTATACTGTATTTAACACATCTGTAAACACTAAAATATGATAAAATGTTTATTTGACAATTCATTGACCCTACAAAATTGTGTGGGAGTCATGTGTGTATGAGTGTACTTCACCTAAGAAGGCCGACACATCCAACATGATGCCAAACACACACCTTTCTGGTGCCATGGTTCCAGTGTCACTGAAACACAACAGAGGTGGAGATGTTTGGCTCAATGAAGAAAACAGAAAATACACCATGTTTATAAAATATAAAAACAAAAAGTCAGACACAAACAGTGACATTCAATAACAAGGTTTGATGAACAACCACAAGTTCAGCTAATGTCTATTAATTAGTAGTGACTGTGAATATTCTCTGCTTTTGCGTTCTGAATTTTGTATCTTGCCTAATTCAATAACTACTGGTTGAACATATTTGTTATGAAAGTACAAGTGGTTACTTGTAGTAGTGCGTGTGTGTTTTGTGTGTATGTGCGTCCCGACTCTCACCTGATGTAGGGAACCAGAGGATCCACATGTCTGAGCAGCACCGCTGTGACATAAGCAAAGACAAAGGAGGCTGCTGTCCAGATGACCAGAGCCACAGGCAGGAAGCACAGACCCTGCTGGAACCACCACATGGTCTCTGGACTGAGTGTGTGTTGCTGTAAAAACCCTGTGAAAAACAAAAACAGTGACAAACACAACCCTCACTCTACAGCCACTGTCAATCATCATCACTTACTTTATTCAATATAACATTGTGATTATGTTCAATGTTGTGACTTCCATGTGGTTTAAAGAGGTATTGCACTCTGTTGTGTAGAGTTAAACAAGGTGATTTGATTTAACTGTACTGAACTTAGGGAGTTAAGGAAAATTCCTGTCATCACCAGTAAGGAAGTCACCATTCAAGTTATATTTCTATTCCACTTAACTAAACATCCTCATGTCATGTAACCTACTCCAACCTTAACTTACCACTAACACTAACCCTGAACCCTAACCGTAGAACCTTAAACAAGATAATTCAGTCAGTAAGTATATGTAAGTGTCGTCATAAGGACAAAACGTCATCACGACCAAATCTACTCTAACATTATAATTTATGGAACAAACACACAAACCAATTATACACGAACAACATCTATACAAACGACAGTAGCTCTCTGCTTGATTTATTTTAACTACAACTCAGACTATTTACAAGTTCTGGGTCATAACAAATTCACTTTTTTTATACCCAACTTTAGAGGAGCCACTTCTGTAAAAAGTCAGCAGACGCTTCAATGTAATGACACTCACGTTACTGGAATGTTCTGATGAACATAATCTGGCAACAGCAGCACCAAAGTTCAGACGACCTGTTTAAGCCGAACACCGAACAGGTTACAACGGTTAAATGTCATTAGTTATCCACAAAACGTTAAAATACTAAAAGCGCCATTTATAAAAGCGAATTTCACTCTAATATGACGGAACTAGTATCAGGGTTTGCTACAGGAGCCAGTGCGCATGCGTTTGTCATTAGCAGAACGAAAGGGGAATTTAGTCCACAGTCTTGTCTCGCAGGACAAACTGCGATATAGCGGCCACAGCCGGTATTGCAGTTCCTTAAAGCTTATCAACACCAGAAAATATTTACACAAGAAGTGAAAGGGTTTGGCATTTTAACATCACTGATCGTTTCTGATTTATTGGTTTTGTTTCACTTGGGCTTTACATCTTCTAACTGCTACTTCTACTAGCGTCTATAGTGTGTAATATGTTGTATTTCAAGACTGTAAACTCAGTGTGAAAAGCATTGATGGTCTCAGAGCATGGTAGATGTGGAAGCAGAATGAGCAACAGATCAGGTCAAAGAAACAAGTTTTATTAATGGTCAGGATCAGAGTTTGATCTGATTTTCATCAGTTAACATCTTAAAAATGGTGATGTCATCAGGTGAC